GAACAATGTTAGGTAGGTTATTCCAGAGTTTGGGCGCTAAATAGTCAACATGAAATCAAGCTTGTAATTTTTTACTGCTTTTAATGTAAAGAGTTCATCAAGGCAAGGCAAGGCAAGTTTATTTATATATCACATTTCATACACAATGGTAATTCAAAGTGCTTTACATAAAAGAAAAGAAAAAAATAATCACAACAATAAAACAAGGAATTTAAAAATTTGAAAATGATAAAAAAAAATTGATTTAAGAGGTCTAAAATAAATTCATCATTCGTAATTTTTCATCAGTGAAAAATGTTATCCAAATTTATCTTGCTCTCCACAAATCCTTCTTACTTTATCAAAACGCGCACTTCTCACAATTAAATCAGTTTGTGATAGATAAAATACAGTCTGACGAGGACTTTTTGGTGTTGAATGAGTTTTTCATTGTTGAATTTAACAGCATAATTATTACTATTTTTCCAAAAATTATTATTATTAATGTTGTTTTTTATTAATAAACTAAAAACATTTGGTGTACAAAAAAATCACTCAGAAATTACTAGTAAATTTCACAATTAATTACAAAGAAATGGCACACAACACACTGAATTAAACATTAAATTTTAGAGTAGAAACACTGAAAGAGTATTTTCTTGTAAAACATACTCCAATATTCTGTTTTATGTACAACTTAAAAAAAAAATTACAGGGTATTAATATAACGTCAAATGGGTTGTGAGCAATTTTTCATAGTTTAATTTATTTAACAACATAACTATCATTATGTTGTTCCAAATATTAATATTAGTAATATTATTTTTTGTCAATATTAATATATCAAGTAGGTTGCAAACAGTCTCATTGTTGAATTTAACAACATAATTGTCAACATTTTTCCAAATATTAATATTATGAATGTTATTTTTTGTTAATATTAATATAATGGCAAATGGCTTGCTAACAGCGTTTCATTGTTGACTTTAACAACAGAATTAGCAATATCGTTCCAAATATTAATATTATTAATGTTGTTTTTTTATTAATACACGTCAGACTCACATGTCATCTCACAACTGTTTTGTGTGTGTTTTGCTCCTCATGTGCCTTCCTTGCCCTTATTTGGTCCTTCCTGTTCCTGTCCTCATTGTGTGTATTCGTCTCCAGCTGTGTTTTGATGAATTAGTTCATTTGCTCCCAGGTGTGTCCCATTGGTGTCTGTGTATTAAAGTGTTCTCAGTTCCTAATTCTCTGTCTGCTGTTAAGTGTCATTTGGTTTACCTGATGTCTCCTGTCCTGTGATCCCCAGCGTGCCATCATTAAAACCCTTTTGATTTACTTAAGCCTGCCGGCCACTCAGAAGACAAACCCGCCGGCCGCTCCGAAGATAAGCTCGCCGGCTGCGCCGATGTCAAGCCCGCCGGCCAAGGCTCTCTCCAGCCCGCCGGCTATGCCGGTTCTTCAGTCAAGCCTGCCAGCCCCGGAGCTCGCTCCAGTGTCGGCCCAAGAGCTCGCTCCAGTGCGAGGAGTACACACAACGGCCAGGAGTGCCATTCCTAGTTCCAGAGGATCCAGATCCTTAGTGACGGCAAGGAGTGCTGTTCCTAGTTCCAGAGGATCCAGATCCTTAGTCACGGCCAGGAGTGCCGTTCCCAGTTCCAAGGGATCCAATTCCCCAGTTTCGTCCAGTAGTGCCGTTCCCAGTTCCAGTGGATTCAGTTCCCCAGTTTCGGCAAGGAGTGCCGTTTCAGTGGATCCAGTTCCTTAGTCACGGCCAGGAGTGCCGTTCCCAGTTCCAAGGGATCCAATTCCCCAGTTTCGGCCAGTAGTGCCGTTCCCAGTTCCAGTGGATCCAGTTGGCATCGGAGCCTGAAATCTTCCCCAAGTATTTTTTTGGGGCAGGGGCAGTAGGGCTCCAGCCGTAGAGGCCGGGGGGTGGGCTGGGGTTGCAGCCTCGGAGGCTGCTTTGCCATGGCCTCCGGAGTCCCCTGATCCGCCATGGCACCCAGAGCTGCCAGATCCGCCATGGATCCCGGAATGGGCGCCGCCCGGAGGCCTTCCGTCTGTTAACCCTACTCCTAGAGGCCTCCAGAGTGCCCAGCCCCCCTCCCCATTGGATGTTGTACGGCGCGGGACGCGCCTTCCGGGAGGGGGGAGTTATGTCAGTCTCTGGTCTGTGTTTTGTGTGTGTTTTGCTCCTCATGTGCCTTCCTTGCCCTTATTTGGTCCTTCCTGTTCCTGTCCTCATTGTGTGTATTTGTCTCCAGCTGTGTTTTGATTAATTAGTTCATTTACCAGTGTCCCATTGGTGTCTGTGTATTTAAAGTGTTCTCAGTTTCTAGTTCTCTGACTGCTGTTAAGTGTTATTTGGTTTACCTGATGTCTCCCGTCCTGTGATCCCCAGCGTGCCATCATTAAAACCCTATTAATTTGCTTTATTCCTCGTCTCTTCGCTCGTTCCTGCGCTCCCAGTGTGTGTGACAACACAAGCATTTGGTGTGCAAAAATTTCACTCAGAAATTGCTAGTAAATTTTACAATTAAGTACAAAGAAATGGCACACAACACACTGAATTAAACATGAAATTTTAAATAGAAAGACTGAAATAGTATTTTCTTGTAAAACATACTCCAATTACCTATTTTATTTACAACTTAAAAAAAACAATTTTTTACATTGTGTTAATATATTGTCAAATGCGCTGTGAATAGTGTTTGTTGATTTTTACAACAAAATTAGCCATATTGTTCCAAATAGTACTGTTAGTAATGTTGTTTTTGTTAATATAATGTCAAATGGATTATAAACCGTTTCATTGATGATTTTAACAACATAATTAGGAATATTGTTTAACACATTAATATTAGTAATGTTTTTCTTGTTTTCTTAAGTCTTACTGAATGCTTTGCAAACTCCTGGGGAACTGGTGGGACTGAATCATTGAACATATATATGCATTTCTATTGTTCATGTAATGTTTTTGTGTAGTTCTGCTGGGTTTAATTCAGGTGGCCGAGTTTAGGTTTGTGTGTGACAGATGAGGGTGCGTCTGCATTCATTAGAGAACTATGTGTGTCATTAATAACACTCAGCTCCGATGTAATACAGATGGGTGGATTACAGCGCATTAATCTCTCTCTCTCTCTCTCTCTCTCTCTCTCTCTCTCTCTCTCTCTCTCTCTCTCTCTCTCTCTCTCTCTCTCTCTCTCTCTCTCTCTCTCTCTCTCTCTCTCTCTCTCTCTCTCTCTCTCTCTCTCTCTCTCTCTCTCTCTCTCTGTGTCTCTCTGTCTTGCGTGCTCATAATGGAGCAGGTCTCAGGATCATCACTCATGAGTCTTTGTGTCTGTCTTTGTCTCTCTGTCTCTCATTGTTCTGTCTGTTATTGATATAGAGACACTTTTTCACGCTGCTCAAGTGGCTCTCAGTGCTAATGCTGACGCTGGACGCCGGCCAATCAGAACCACACTTTAAACAACCGCCCAATAAAAACACCTTTTGTTCAGTCGTTTGGGAGAGTTTGTACTAAAACTTTACTTGAACCCTGTTAGCTTTATCACCACACCAAAACATCTGTTGATGAGACCCATTAAAATCAGTAAAACGGAACAATTCTTGAGACCACAGCAAAAATATTATGCAAAAATTATATATATATATACAGTGGGTACGGAAAGTATTCAGACCCCCTTAAATTTTTCACTCTTTGTTATATTGCAGCCATTTGCTAAAATCATTTGTTAATTTTTTTTCCTCATTAATGTACACACAGCACCCCATATTGACAGAAAAACACAGAATTGTTGACATTTTTGCAGATTTATTAAAAAAGAAAAACTGAAATATCACATGGTCCTAAGTATTCAGACCCTTTGCT